TCAAAGTGGTTGGGATAGATATATAGTTGTATTTTCTTAATGAATAGAATGATTTGTTCTAATGGTGTTTGTAAATAGGATCACAAGTCCTCATCTTGTACAGCAATTAACCACTAGGAAGAATATATGCAGTGTGTTAGTTGTTGAAACTGTACTTTCGATTTGATTTGAAACTGTCTCATTGCTATCTGTTTATCAATAAAACTTTGAAAACAAACAAACAAACAAAAAAAAAAAAACAAAATGGGTCAGAAGAGAGTTATTTGTTTGTCTGGGGTTGATACTCCTACAGTCAGGACCAGTGTTCCTCTTAGGGAATTTAAATGTTGGCTTTAACAGTCTATGCCATTACAATGTGCACTAGATGATTTTACCAAAGTAAAATGGTTGGATTTTTTCCCTTCACAGCCTCTTTTTTATATAGCTATCACTCTTTTCACCTTTCCAAGGTTGTTTATCTTGAACCAATTCCACACTCACATACCATGTTTACTGATGGCTCTGGCTGCAGTAAGAAGCCTGTCTTAGTATCTGAAGCCCTTCAGTCAGGGACATAAATATTTTCTTCAATACAAAAGGCAGAATTTGGTACTATTGTTGAAGCTTTCCAAATAACATATGGAGGTGGTGGTAGGAAAGCTATGTGTGTGTCAATTTAAAACATTTTTGTGTGTTGTAAATTCTTGAACTACTTACATGCACTTTTCTCTGCCTTCTGCTCTTATTAATGCAAGAGTACTGATTCATGTTTACTTGTACATCTGCTGGAAGTGATTCAAAGCTAAAATGCAACATTCTGAGACTCTCTAAAGGATCTCAGCCAAGATAATCTTGAGAACTTGATCCTAAGTGGAATGAACAAAAATGTAAAAAGTATATATGTAGAAGGTTATACGTACAAGAGATACATTTTTAACATGATAAGATTTTCTATGATAAAAATATTATAGCCTTTAAATCTAGAAACTTGATTCTTTATGATCCGAGACTGAAGGACACAATTTCTGTAGTCCAGAAGGAGCCCAAGAATTTGTAGATATCAGTAGAGAGCCCTACTGGGGGTTGGTTTTAAAAATCCAAATGAGGTTGACTCGCCAGAGGAAGAGGTGGGGGCGGCGGGGGCTGCAATGGCGGCTGCGGGTGGCGCGGGCCCGGCCATCCTGCAGGTGGCCGGCCTCTACCGAGGCCTCTGCACGGTGCGCAGTCGGACCCTGGGCCTGGGGTTTGTTTCACCTGCTCAGCTGCGCGTGTTCCCCGTGTGCCGCGGCTCAGGCCAGCCCTCTGGGGGCGCGGACGGCAGCGGGGTCGGGCCGAGCTGGAGGCCAACCCCTTCTACCAGCGCTACCGGGACAAGATCCAGCAACTGCGCAGGTCCGACTCAGCTGCTTTTGAGTCACGCCTGGAAAAGCGCACTGAGTTTCAAAAGCAACCAGTGGGGTACTCTAGGCAAGGTGATTTTGTCAAATGTGTGGAGCAGAAGACAGATGCCTTGAAGAAACAGCTTGTGAGCAAAGGATTCACTAAAGACAAGACTCTCAGTTCTATCTTTAACAATGAGATGGTGAAAGACAAAACTGCAGAAGAAATAAAACAGATTTGGCAGCAGTATTTTGCAGCAAAAGATACAGTCTACGCAGTCATTCCCAAAGAGAAGTTTGATTTGATGTGGAACCGGGCTCAGTCCTGTCCAACATTTCTGTGTGCACTGCCAAGAAGGGAAAGTTATGAGTTCTTTGTTGGACAATGGACAGGTACTGAACTCCACTTCACTGCACTTATAAATATTCAGACCCAAGGGGATGCTGCAGCCAGCCAGTTGATTTTATATCACTACCCTGAACTTAAGGAAGAAAAGGGCATAGTGCTAATGACAGCAGAAATGGATTCCACATTTCTGAATGTTACTGAGGCACAGTGCATCGCCAATCAAGTTCAGCTCTTCTATGCCACTGATCGTAAAGAAATCTACGGGTTAGTGGAGATGTTTAACTTCAGACCAAATGAATTCAAATATATGTCTGTCATCGCTGAATTGGAGCAAAGTGGACTTGGAGCAGAACTGAAGTGTACTCAGAACCAGGATAAGACTTAGAACTATAAAGGCTGGCCCTTCACTAGTAAGCTCAGCCCTGGATAGTATAAGAAAACCACCCCCCATCCCAGTCTCAAGAGCTCAGCATCTATAATAAGCAATCTGTAAACAGTTGCCCTATGTGCTTCTTGCAAGAAGTGGTCATGGAAATGAGCCTTAATACTTAACATTCAGGAATAAAGGTACCAACATATTTAATAATCACCTCTCAGCATATTTGAGGTTTCCTTTTAAATGTTTCTAGCCAAGAGACAGCCAGGGGTCTTCAGGATAGTTCATTTGACTTCATATAATATAGTGCAGTTGCATTTTGGCTACTGTGACTTGTAGCTTCTGGTTCTGCATCTTTATGAACTTTAGACAGGGTAATGTTTGAAGACCTGCTGAAGTTAGATGTGGGCTTTATATAATCTTCCCATATGCCAATCAGTTGGCCAAAGGCATAATCCCAAGTATCCTGTTTAGTCTCTAAAGCAAGAAGATATTCCCATCAGGATAAAGAATTCATCTAGATGCCCCCCATAGTTATTATCTTTAGTGCAGCTGGTTTGAGGCATCAACAAATTTCAGATACAGTTGTATTAACAGGTACAGTGCCTAAATATTGTTGAACTATCAATTACAGCATCTATTCCTCTAGCTGTGCTTGCTAGAGGTTGTGTGTTTGAAGGAAGTAAATCAGCACAGTGTAAATAAAACATTTTTCTAAGTAAAAGATCATTTCAGATGTGCATGATTTTTTAAACCAACTCTAAGCACTATATGAAGAAGTAGATGTGAGTACATGTTCTCAGATTGAGTATAGGGAAAATGTAGCAATAAAATAAAATCTGGCTTATAGTCTTTGTTATACAAAATAGTGAAATCTAAGCTATGTACTGTCCATAGTTTCAGTGCTATGTGCTGATTTTAT